ATGATTTTGTTGTGGGGCATTATTTACTACCAGAAGCCAACACTCTCTCAAAGTATTTGAATATAATGCTTATTTTAAAAGTAAGTGAAGAAAGTAGATTACATTCTTAATCAATTAGAATGCTCTGGTGGCCTATGGGTAAGGAGTTGTACTGCCAAACGAGACAGGTAGTTTGAATCCAGCAGCTGCTCCATGAAGAAAGTTGGGTAATTTCCTTCTGTGAGATTCCTCTGAAAACCTGCTGTAGGGTCAGCTGGAAGTTGGTTCCAACTTGATGACACCTAACAACAATCAGTAATAACTATTCTGACACTTCCCTCAATGAGAGTGCTTATTCTTGCCATGTTATATATGGTAATGTATTGCACTGCTGACATAATGTGATTAGTTTCTACCTCTAGTTTTAACACACATTGCTGTTAATGGGCCTTGTAATGTCACTTTAAATATACATATAACTGAGAAACATCAAAGGTACAGCCTACCAACTTACTACTCAATAAGGAACCAGCTGATAAGGAAACATTAAAGAAATAAAAAGTATGACTAATATTGAAAGTCAGTTTATGGTCATCAGAGCTCATAAGGATCATTGTGTCCAGAAAAATTTGATGAAGACACTGGGATAGAGTATTATTCCGACAATTGAGTGCCAATTAACTTTGAAAGAATCTTTTTCCTTCTTTTGGTATATCAGTACAGTGCAAGGAATAAGCTGTATTGCTGTTGTTAAGTGCTGTTGAGTATGACCCATTGCAACCCTATCAACAGATCTGAATCCTGTCCAATCCTGTGCCATTGCAGCAGTCACTGTGTCAATCCACCCGGTTGAGGGTCTTCCCCTCCTTGGAATAGCTTCTCCTAGTAACATGGCAAAAGTATTTGAGGTGAATGAAGCTTTATCATCTTCGCCTCCAAGGACTCTATCTGCACTTTATCCAAGATGTGTTTGTTCTTTTGGCAGTTATTGGATGATTGGTGCTCTTCTCCAAAACCACAGCTCAAAAGGCATAAATTCTTCTGTCATCCTTATTCACTGTCCAGCTTGTAGACATAAACTGACATCATTGCTCCTCAGTAATTTGTAGAGGCCCCTGACTGCAGGCTTTACTAGTGCAGTATGTCTCCTGATTCCCTGACTGCTGATACCAACAGTGCTGACTGTGGATCCAATTAAGATGAAGTTGTTGACAGTTGCTATCTTTTCTCCATCCATCACGATGTTGTCTATAGGCCTATTCCTACAGGTGATGTCTATAGGAATAGGCTATATAATCGCTAAAATGATTATGATTTTTATTTGTCTGGCTTTTCAAAATATGGTGTTTTTTTTAAAAAAATGTTCAACATGTGTTTAAATCAAGTTTTGTTACATAAAATGCCAAAATGTATGAGGAATATCATTATTTACATGACAACTGATGCATTTATAAGTTTAAAAGTAAACTTTCACATCCCAAGCTTTCTTAAATAATACAAATATATTTATAGTCAACACCAAGCAAAAAAAAATTTATAGGGGTAAGGAATCAAGAAATTTGCATAAATTAGGAGTCTGGAAAGTGTGAAGGTAAAGCAACTGAGAAAAGTTCATGCTTTTTTCCCTTTGGTACTTGCAAGATAAGGCAGGAGGCATGTAAATGGCTCCTATTTTGCCAGGATCGAATTTACCATTAAAACTGTTATACACGAAATTATCTCAAACTAGACATTGTTATGCACAAATGTATCATAAACGAGTTAAATGGGACTCTTCTAGACACGGTCAAAAATTAATCACAAATTGACATGAGCCGTTACATAAATGTAGGGTTGATTTTCCTATTATGTTAGAAATAAAAGGGATTACTTTTATAAATCAGTCTGTCCCATTTTCATTTTTAATGAGAAAAGACCACAGATTAAATTAGTGTCAGCCAAAAGTACAGTTCTGTCAATTTCCCTACATTTTTTAGATGCTGGACACTCAGAGAAGACTTCCATAATACATTGTACACTTTGCCACTTGAACCTAAAACTCCTTCTGCAGGATCCATGACAGATACGATCCAGCTCTGGCTCCGCCTCAAGTGATAAACACAGATTACCCAACAAGCAGGAGCAGCACAGGCTTCTTTGTACCTATTTACTAATCTGTACACAAAATTTCACATCACAGGTTCTGCTTTTAGGTACAGCTGGCATCCGTCTCAGCTCCACCACACCTTCCATCTCTTCAAATTTACAAAGCCTCTATTCAAATTTATGATTCATGACAGGAACAGAGTACTCAGTTAAGCAAGTGTTTAATATGTGCTTATGTACTAATCTATAGCAAACAATTTCACATCCTTGCTAATTCAGTAATCTGCCAACAGCGGTAAACGATTCATCTTCAGAAGATAGTCCAAAGGTGGAGTTGGGGGTCTGTTTAACAAGGAAAGATCTTTTTTCCCCAAAGAAAAGAACAATCTGAGGAAAGGTGGGGCAGGGAGGAAAATGCAACAATGAATGATTTGAAATCCAAGTTCTTTATAAATTTTGATTAAAATGTCAATAAAAAAAGAAGGTAGTCCATTTACTTGTTGGACAAATAACTATAAATGTCTTCTTACACTAAGCTCAAATACGCCATGTTGTAATTTTCAGTTTATAGCCTTGAGTTCTGCTGAGGGACAGGACAGTGCTTGCCTCTCAAATACTCAAAGACATTGTCTTTCCTCAGTACGTAATTCTTCAGCTAAACTGTTTAGTTTACAACAACGTTTCCAACTTGGTGAAATACCCTAGGATTTGCTCTAAATATTATTTATTTAATCCTGAAAGAAAATTAATATTGGAGATATTGTTTGACTAGCATTCTGTATATTGAAACATCATGGTATCTTTTTTCAGTCCCTTATAATTACTTCAGTTTTTTAACAGTTAGCTCATATATTATTGATGGCAATTAAAAATCTTCAGATTCCTCCCCTCATCTACAAAGACTGGGATGTCTATGATACCATTTAGGATTTTGCCCTTAGCTAGCTTGTCAACCTCATTCCCATACCCTCTGGACAGTCTGCTTACATTTCAATGATTATTAAAAAAAAAAAAAAGCAAAGCATTATCATCATCTTTTCTGCTTTTATATATTGTTCCTACCAGTGTATAGTCAATTCTAAGTGATCTTTCAAAGTTCTGTTTAAATGCTACTTTTTAGTGGAACTCTTCCTTGTGTTGTCTCCTACCTCTCATTCCAAGACTATCTTTAACCCTTACCAAAATAATAATAAATACCATACAAGGAGGTATTTGAGGACATGGTATATGTCTACCTTCTTTTCTCTTTCCTGGCCCAGCAGAGTTTTGTGTGACTCTGACATTCAACATATATTTGTTGAATGAATGCTAAAGAGTATGGCTAATATAATTTAGATTTTCCCAGGTAATTAATAAAAATTATTTAGCTAAATATTAGGTTGTATGTATATGGTAATATTAGGTTGTATGTGTATATGAAGTAGAAAATTTATAAGCTACAAGTTAACACAAAGAACAACCTATGAGAATGAAAGGAATGATGATAAAATTGAGAAAACCATGTAATTATATTCTAGAAAGGATAGTAGGCACACAAGCACAGCTGAGTGGTATATTTGTTGTTTTACTGTTAATTAGACACATCTGAACCAAAGCATTCACAATATTTGATATATTTTGAAGATAATCTACTATAGTCTTAGACATAACCACAGAACAAGCAGAACAATTAAACTACATAAGGCCTTAAAATATATCCACAGTGTGTATTATTTCAATATTCATTCGTTTACAAATTAGACTACATACCATTAATTTTATTTTTCTTTCATTGTTTTATTCAGGCAGGATTCATTTAAAGAAAGGCAACTTAGTGTGTGAGTGTGTGTGTATGTGTGTGTTTGGGTCTGTGTACCAAGTTATCTTTGTAGCATGTTGGTTAATATAAAAGTATGAATTAAATGTTTTTTCCTCTCCTTTATCTAGGAGTGAGCACATGAAATTCTCAGTAATCCAAAATAATGGGCCCTACTTTTAAAAATTATCAAAGTGAACCTGAAGAGGGACCAAATATCCAGTGTGTGGTCCTAAAGGGCAGCTAACGTACTCTCAGGTCTTCAGAGTACTGCAATTCTTAGAGATTAGTCAAAGTTTAAAACAATGGTGCATACAAAATCATTCATAAAGCTCTAAATGCCTTTTAAATAACTAAAATGAAAAATTTAAGTAGTTGCCTCACAGTACCAAACTTAAATGAATAGAGTTAAAATTCAGTGCGATTTTGACTTCTCATTTACAAGGTAACTAGTTGGTAGTTTAACAGATGGGTAAAAAATTAAAACTTACATCATTTTTTTTATTTTTTAAGAAGAAAATGTGTGATAACCAGAGAATACAGAAAGTTCAATGTATTTTACAATAAAATAACCACTTAAAACCTCTATCCCTGTACAACAGGGTGGAGGTGAACTCTAGTGAACATGTCTATTTCATATTGGGCTTTCTTTAAAAAAACAAAAAACAAACAAAAAAACCCCAAAAAATCCCATCCCAGTTTATTCTTATTTTGAGTACTTGAATTGGTTTAGATATACAGCTTTCAGATAATTGCATTTGTATATGAGGATAAGATTTAGTACACTGAGATGTTTTAAAAATATTTATAAATTTGTTTCTGATATGCAAAAGCATTTGGCAATACTTTTACAGCATTTGATTTTATAGAATTAAAATTTCATACAGTACTCATCTTGATGTTTAAAAAAAAATTCACAGAAAAAAATATAAATTACACAGCCTTACTGCATGATACTGTTATTTCCAGTTTCTAGTTCTGGTAATTAAAACCTTCATTAAGTCTGTTAACAAATCATTACCTGTACAATTATGAAGGCAACTGACATGATTTGTAAACAAAACCTTCAGGTTTTATGTTATTTACCAAGGAGTGTAGTTCAGCAAGGAAAGAAAACTCAGGATACAATTTACAGAATATTTTACAAATTTACCAGTTCCTGTGACACAAACTGTTTTAATCTTTCAAGATACTGTCCGTAAAGTTCCACATCATTGTGACCAGCACCTTCGACCCACAGAGGCTCCACAGGTCTTTGGCAACGCTCAAACAATGCGAGGCCATGTGAAAAGTCAATGACTTCATCTTCAGTCCCATGAATTATTAATACTGGAGAAGTTATCTTGGATATTTTGTCAATGCTGTAGGGAAAGACAACAACAATAACATCAACAAATTATACAAGGGAACATAAAAGAAATTTTCTGCCCTATTTAAAATAATTCAAATATTAGAATGTTTTCAATCCGTTTAGAAAGGATGAAAAGCCTCTTGGATTTCAAATAAGATCCACAAGTCTTCTTTTACATACCTCTTAGAGTAAGAGTAAGGCAAACCTTGGCAGTGCAGTGGATAAAGTGAGAGGCTACTAAATGGAAGGTTAGCAATTCAAATCTAGCAAATGTACCTCAAGAGACAGATGAGGCACTCAGCTTTGATAAGACATTTATGGCTCCAAACACAAATGAATGGACTGAGAAGTTGTGATACATTCAAACAATGGAATACTACCCAGTAAGCACACAGAAGCAATGATTTTGCAAATTACTACCTAATTTGGTAAGGACTAGAAAGCATTATGCTGAGTGAACTAACTCAGTCCCACAAGGACAAATACTGTATAAAACTGTTATTGTAGAATGAGTGTAAGGATCTAAGGGGGGGAATGGAGTGGAAGGAGAGGGGTGAGGATGAAGGAGTGTTAATCATAGGGTTACACAATTCGATCGGTGGGTGGGTGAAGGAATTGGGAAAGACCTTATGTGAAAAATATACTCAAAAATTATTATTTTTTTTAAAAAAAGATTTATGGCCTTGGCTACCCTACGGAGCAGTTCTACACAGCTATATATGGTCACTGCATTCATTGGAGTCTACATGATAGTTTTAGTCTAAGATTATTCAAAGATGTCAACTTCAAGCATTCTCTCTTTTGGCAGAATCACTTAACAGTTAATGAAATCCTATTACACTCTGCATATTATTTATTTTTTACAGAGAAACTTAGATTTCATGGAGAGGAGGAAATGAAAAGGCCATTTCAGCATAACTGTTACTTATAGAAGCTTTACCCGGTTTATGAACAATTCGTGGTTAGGTGCCATCAAGTTGACTACAACTCAGAGCAAGCCTATGAAGAACACTGCCCTGTCTTGTGCCACCCTCACCATCTCTGCAAGACTTGAGACCACTGTCAAAGTCACTGTATCAACCCATCTCATTGATGTCAACACTTGCCAAAGATCAAGACATCATGTTATTTCCAATCATAATGTCTTTTTCCAAGGACTGGGCCCTCCTAACTTGCCCTTGAATGTTATAGAACTTTGTCCTCACTTCGAAACAACTAGCAACACATTCTTTATTACAATCACCTTAATTCGCTGCATGTACAGCTTTTTAAGACACTGGAAAGCTTTTCCTTACACTGAAGTAAGGCAAAATAGGAACCACTTCAAACTAATGAAGATTTAAAGTCAAGTTAGGAATGGATCTCATTCTTAGCCTGGGACTCCCTCATTGTTTCAATATCATGCCTCTTTGTAGTCATTTTTTCTACCTCCCAGCAATCTCCTCCCATGTAATTTAAAGCCTCTGAAAACCCACTGGAGGGTTAGCTATCAATCATTTTTAACTGGAAGAAACCCAACAACAGCAATACCACTGAAATGATAATAATTTTATTCTATTCTATTTACTTTTTAGGACATAAACTCAAAAACGTTAAAAAAATTTGGAGCAGATGGACTTGTGAGATAAAGGATTAAACAGATTGGAGAAAACACAATTTGAATTCTAAGGGGATAAAAGGAAAAACTAATTCAATACCAGTGAATAGCCAAGGAGGAAAAGGAATTGTCTATTTTCCCCAAATTTTGTATTCTTCTTTTTTTGTAGCTGGGTAAAATGTTTTCTCCCTCCAGGCTCAAGACTAGAGGATCTGTGGACTAGGGAAATACTAGACACATTTGTGGGTCACAGACATCAAGACTAGATACATTTTGAGTCACAAGACATCAAAACTAGACAAATTTTTGGGTCACAGGCATCAAATGGCTGCTATCAACCTACTTTACCTTCTGGCTCCCAGAGTGCTGGCAGCCAAATCCTCACTCTCCAAGGGAGAGTTTAGAAAAAGAGTTTGGCGATTGTATCTACCTTAAAGGGAAAGACTTCTAATGACATAAAAGCTGGGGTTCCCCAACTAACTGGCTTGGCTGGATCATTCTACTGAGAAACTCACAAGTAAGTATAAGCTTTAATTATTTCTGTCAGATAAGCTCTTTAAACCCTTATTCTGTCATATGAACAGATAACCAAAAATTAACAGAGATCAAAGATAAATGCTTTGAATATAAGATGGAGATCAAAACAAATAGAACTTTTAAAAAAGACAACTTGGATGAACAGAAAATACTTGGAGAAGAATTCTTAAAAAGAAACAAACTTCATTTTGAAAATCCTCAGGAGAAGAAATAAGGAACAAAAGCCATAAAATGAGAACAAAATATTGAAAATGTAAAGCATGATACCATGATTACAAAAGTTGAGGAGCTTCCTCAGAAAAGAATAAAAAATCGAAAATAAAGAGAAGATATTGGAGGGTCCATTAAAAATGTCCTATATATATAAACAATAGTGGTTTTGGAAAGTGAAAATAAGAATGGAAAGAAGAAACTATCAATGTAAGAAAAAGTATTATATATCAGTTACTGTCAGAAAAAGAATCCACAGCAGAAGAATTAAGATGTGAAGAAATTATGGTACCATCAAATAGTCTATTCTCTTTGTTGTCAGGTGACGCAGCAATTTTATGAAAAACAGATCTGAACCTTGTCCTACCCTGTGCCATCCTCAGAATCTGTGACACACCAGAGATTATTACTGCAGTCACTGTGTCAATCCATCTGTTTTGAGTCTTCCTTTCTTTCAATGTTCCTCCACTTCCCTAAGCATGATGTCCCTCTACAATGCCCAAAGTATGTGAAACAAAGTTTTATCATCTGCCTCCAAGCAGCACTCTGCCTGCACCTTCTCAAAGACATATCTGTTTGTTCTTTTGAAAGTGCATGGATATTCAGTGCTCTTCTCCAACACCACAATTCACCTTTCTTTATTATCACTGTCTAGCACTCAGAAGCATAGCAAGTGACTGAAAAAGATCATGGTCTGAAGCAGGCACAACTTAGTAAACAAATTAACACCACTGCTACTCAATAATTTGCAGAGGTCCCTAACTGCAGACATTCCCAGTGCAGTAAGTCTCCTGACTGCTGGTATCAAATGAATTGATTGTGGGTGCAAGTAAGATAAAGTTGAGTTTCATTTTTTTTTCCATCTATCATGATGTTGCCTATAGGTTCAGTGGTGAAAATTTTTATTTTCTTGACGTTGAGATGCAATCCATATTGAAGGCTGTAGTCTCTGATTGGCTGCAGCAAGCACTTTTAAGTCCTCCTCACTTTCAGCAATAAGGGTGTGTAATCTACATAATGAAGGTTACTGTTGAGTTTCCAATCCTGATGCCACCTTCTTTTTCATTAAGGGTCCAGTATCTCAAATAATTTCCCCAGCACACGGACTGAATAGTTATAGAGAAAAGATACGACCTTGACACATACCTTTCTTAATTTAAAACCATGTAGTGTTCCCTTGCTCTGTTCACACAATATCTTCTTGGTCTAGGATAGGTTACATATGAGAGCAATTAAGTATTCTGGGACACCCATTCTTCTCAGTGTTAGCCATACTTTGTGTGGATCCACACAGTCTTCTAGTATTGTTTTGCTTTCTTCCAGGATCCATTTGATAATAGCAATGATATTGCTGACATAGCCTCTTCTAAACCTAGCTTGAACTTCTGGCTCTATGTACTCTATGTACTGTTTCTAGCCGTTCTGAATGATCAAGGGTATTTTACTTGCATATGATATTAATGATACTGAAGTCTTTGTTGGTGGGGCAGAAATGAAGAAGGAATATAGATGTAGGAATACGTTTGCAATATCATCACCCCAAATTCCTCCCTACCTCTATTTTCATTTTGACAGTGACAAGATTATAAATAAGATTTCTCTACTAATTCAGACCTACTGCCACTGAATCAAATCCAAGTGAGAGACCCACCATCAGCTTTCCAAGGCTGTAAACCTCTAGAGGAGGGGGACGCCCAACTTTCTCCCTCCCGCAAAGTTGCTGGCAGATTCAAATCACCAGCCTAACATGTTACTCAGCAATATACTAGGGCTCTTTTTCTTACTAAAGTAACTGTTACTAGAAAAGGTGTGTTTTTCAAAGGATTTTCCTTATTCAAACAAAGTGATGCCTTGACTTGTAGTTCATCTGCCATTTATCAAACAACCAATCTTTTGTAATGCTTCCAGTTGTGAAAAAGAGGTAAGACTGAAATTTGCTAGCTTCTCTTTTTCTCTGAGGGGAATAAAAGAAGTCATTCTCCCTACCCTGTCCATGAAGGCCATTTTTATCCCTCCACTATGAAGAGGGCAGGTGGTAACAACCTATTTCAAGAAGCATGAAGAAATAACTTCTTTTCAAACTGTTCTAACACCATGTTTGTGGACTGTGTATGTGCGGGGAGGGTAGGGCAAAGGAACAATACTCACTCAAATTTATGTAAGATAACTTCATTTTCCCCTCTACAATTTGATTATTTTGTAAATTGTTGTTATTTTCTGTCCAGTTGGAACAAACTCATAGCTGACCCTCTAGTAGGTTTTTAATAGGCAGTTAATTAATTGCATGGAAGATTGCTTTTCTCACATGAAATAGGTAGAAGATTTTTGGGTTGGCAGAGCAACTCCATACCACTAGGCCACCAGAGTTTACAGATTAGTTTCCATTTACTAGGTCTCATTCACTCACCCCTCACTCATTTATGCATATATGCCACATTTCCCTCTCCCATCATCCATTTGTTTAAATCAGAACCCCTTGAAGTCATATGCCAGTTCGTCTTCTTTTCAGCATCTGACACTGAGCTTGACATTCAGTTCAGTCCATTTTACTTTGCAAACTGACAGACTAGGTCTGATGGTCTAGGGAGTAATGCTGTTCACCTTCTGATGGTCAAATCCACCAGCTGCTCTGCAGAAGATAGAGAGGAAATCTCTCCCTATGTAATTTATACCCTCCGAAACCCAGTGGAGTATCAGCTTTGAGTTGGTTCTGACTCAATAGGAAGGAGAACACTAGTGTCAACACTAGTGAGTAGGGTATAAAGAAGGCCCTCAGCTCTTCTTAGACATGTCAAACTCCTGACTGGTTTGCCACCACTATTTGCATGAGTTTGTCACAGTATTTATAATATATGTAAATATAAGCTTACGGTTGAATGATCTGTCATGAATACCCTAAATGATGGAAAAATGCTTTCAGATTTTCTTGGAATTGTTCTTCTATTTTGAATACTGCTACTTACTTTGGGAATGCATCAAAACAGTAGGTCTTCTTGGTATCAGGAAAAGCGACTCGCATTCCTGAGGTCAAAGGAGAATGAAGAATAACAGCAGCACTCTCATACCGAGCAGCAAGATCCACAGATGGTACCGTTCCGATGCTTTGGCCATATATGATCACATTTTCAGGACGAATGCCGTATCTATTAAGGTGGAGAAAGAAAGGGGGCGGGGGAAAAGAACTGGGCTGGTATAAAATATCCAACCATCACTAAAGACTTGATCTTGTAACAGAATGGCTTAGCGTAAGATAATGTCAACTAATATATACTTAACATTGAAGTGCTTTAGTAATCACAATCACATTCACTGCTAGAATAAGATCTACATTTGCACCTTTTTTGTTTCAATTTCATGTTAAGGAAAAATAAATGTGAACTTCTGAAAATCTCAACTTTAGGAAATGAATTTATTAAATTTTTTATGCTGCAGTAATTTAACCTCATCTTAAGTGTTGACTAAGTTTGGAACACATTTTATCACTGTTATTTTAGTGTATTAATGTTTATATTTAATATAACAGAAGTTTATGTTTTCTTCAGACATCAAAAATGGCTCATGTTGTTTTCTAAATTACTACATGTTTCTGAAAATATTACATTTAGTGTTATGGTATGGAATAAACGTGGATAGTTTTAGTGAAGAGCAAATTAATGTTTTTCTTGACATTTGCATTTGTTCCCTCTTAAAAGAGAACTAATAACTGAAAAAGAAAACAGATGAATGCTAAATTCCAAATGCCAAGCAGAACAGACTTTATGCTATAATCTTAAGTTTTATCTGATCTTAAAAATGCTAGAGGTTGAAATACGTTAACTTGTTGACCCAGTAAGAAAGCATTGGGAACTGAGTATTTTTCAGACCCTCATCTATAACCACACCTTGGAAATGATACAGGCTGAGAGCTAGACTCTAGGTGCAATAAAACAAGTATTACAATCAAGTTATGTCAATTTTTCTTGTTTCTACCAAAAATATAAAAATTATGTTTACATTATACTATAGTCTATTAAAGTATACAGCAGCAATATGAAAAAGTCTGAAATAGGGCAAGATTTACCAAAATGGGACAGAAAGTGAACAGATGCTGTTAAGAAAATGGTGATGAAAACTTGCATCACCAAGGGTTACTAAAAACTTTCAATTTGTAAAAATCACATTATCTGCCAAAGTACAAAACAAAGATGTTTAATTGCCCCAACTGCAAACTACAAGTCCAGTATGAGTGAGATGTGACAGAAGCTAATGAATGTGGGGTTAGGGTTGGAGTAACATTAAACATGCCTTTGCTCTTTAGAAGGGAGATACCAATCATTTTTGGATGCTAGTAGTCAAAGCAGCTTTCAGTCTTTTGGAAAGTTAACAGAACTTTCTGAGAACCTGCACAGTCATTGAGAAAGCATTAGGCATGCTGTTCATATATTCCTCTTCAGGAGCACAGGACTGCTGGGGCTATGTGGCATACCTCCCAGTGTTTCTTTCAATCAGTCCTTCACCAACAACTGGAAATGTCAGTAAAGTATTTTTTCTTTATAACAAACTCAGTTTTAACTTCTTCACAGGAATGAAAGAATTTGGGGAAAGATCTTTTGCAGCATAAGCATAATTTGTAGGCTATAGTCCTAGGAGAGGGACACCATGCTTGGGAGGGTAGAGGGACAGCACAGGAGAGGAAGACTCTCTATAAGGTGGATTGATTCAGTGACAGGGGTAATCAGGGTAGGTGTGTCGGAGACAGTGAAATTGGCACAGGATAGAGCAGAGTTTAGGGCTGTTGTACACAGAGTTGCTATGAGTTGCAGGCGACTCGACGGTACAAAACAACAACAACAATAAGATCAAACAGGTCTGTCCTAGAGAGGGTGAAACAAAGCTGCTCTTTGGAGGTAAGGATTTTGAAGCTCCATCTCACAAACTCTGAACATTCTGCCCAAAGCGACCAGTCCTTGGAGAAGGCTATCATGTTTAGAAGGGTGGAGGGACCAAGGTAGGACAGGAAGACCCTGGATGAGATGGATTGACACAGTAACTGGAATAATGGGGGTAGTCGTGAAAGAGACAATGAAACTGGCTTAAGATAGAGCAGGGTTCAGAGCTATTGCATACTAGGTTGCTATGAATTCCAAGTGACTCCACAGCATATAGTAACAACAACAACAACAGCAACAACACTGATTTCAGTAGAGTTGCTACACCGATGGCAATTTTGAGTCTTCAGGCTGGAACAAGCAATGGTGAAACAGGCTGAAGAGACAGTTGTCAATTAAACATCAGAGGACTCAAAACAATTAACAGAATTTCAGAACAGTATAAATTAGAAAAGACATTAAAGGTTATCTAATCTAGTCTGCTTAGAGAAAAATGTATGATAACCTGTAATTAGAATTAAGTCCTCCAGTCTGGTACTTTTCCTTATTATAACACACAGTAATATAATAAGCTTCAGGCATGTAGGAAAGGCTGCAAACTGAATGAATAAACAGTTGACATGAAGTTGATCCTGTGTATCAGATTAAAACTCTGCTCCATGGGATTTTCAATGGCTACTTTTTTCAGTAGCTCACCAAACCTTTCTTCCAAGGCATTTCTGGGTGGCCCGGACTCTCCAATCTTTCCATTAGCAGTCAAGAATGTTAACCACTTCCACTACCCAGGGACTCCTGCATACTGAACATCAAGCCCTTATTTTCTTTTATCCATCAGAAGATCAGAATAGTAGTTATTACAGATTAACAAATTTTCCTAAAAAGAATATTATA